CTACACGTTAAGGGCTTTCAAACAACATAATGAACATTAAAATTGAGCCAGTGGTTTGGGCTGTAGGTCCGTTAACATTCAAGGAGAAGAAGGAGAACACGGAAAATTTGTGAATTTTCAAACTAGTTTTTCTTGGCTCAAACACAACCGTTTTTTAAAATTTTTTTTAATTTTGTTGAGAATGAGTGCCCCTATCCAATAGATGGACAATTATTTTAATAGCTTTTGTTTCTTCAGAGCTATAGACGAGTGAAAAAGCCACTTTGTCACGTCATGTATATATACACTGCAGCAGCTGTGTACCGCTGGGGGACTTGGCGGGGTCCCCCGCCGCTGCCGCGTTCCTTAATAAAATGAAACAAAAAAGTATCATTCCAATATTATTAATGTTTTTATTGCTAAAAATGACCCTGGTTTGTCAAACAAGAGGAAAATTTCTGAAAAAGCAAGCAATGGATCATCATATCTTTGAAATGGATAGAGTAACGTTTAACTATCTTTCTTTTATCTATACACACACAAAATCAAAAACTAAAATTCAGCTAAGTAAACTTAAGTACAAAACAAATAAAAAGTACTGGACATTGCTGCTTAAGAACGAATCATTTGAAGCAATACACTTAGTCAACACAATTGTGCTTCTTATGCTTTTATGTGGTGATATACACCAAAATCCAGGTCCTACAGGAGAAAATATTACAAAAGAACAATGTCCTTTCTGTCTTAAATCATTTACTAGATTAGACTCACACATTAAAGCCTCACATAAGGACCAAGCATCAACTGACAAATCAAATGTATCTTTGCAAAATGGGTCTATACAAAAAGTCACTTACAGTTACAGTCAAGAACCTGGCCCTTCATCTACAAACGAATTTGCTGTAGTGATACCTCCTTCGCGTGATCCTAAGTACACCAGACCTTGTTTGAAATATTACAATGATAATGATAGTGACTCAGAGTCAGATTTTCACACATCACTCAAACCTAATAACCAATTGACTGATAACCTTAACAATACAAATAATATAAATGGCATGAAAAGCATTGAAAACTTTGCACAAAATACTGTCATTGCTCCAAGTAAAAAGAAAAGTATAACATGCCCCCATTGTGGAAAATCGGTAAAAAGTCTAGTTGTTCACATAAGCAGAGCCCATGCAACAGTACATAGAGATAAAATAATTGAAAAATACGTTGATGACTTGCAAGAAAAGGTTACCCACAAAGTTGAAACCCAATCAAAAGACACTAACTTTCAAAAAATGTTGTGTGATTGGGAAGAAAAATTCGATAAAGTAACAGATCTAGATAACATTGAACAGTTGAATAAAAAAATGAACGAGTTTACAACATTTTTAGCTTCAGCTGTAAACTATTTGCCTGGACCTAAACACCCTGAAATGAAGTATTACAACTTAAGAAAATCAAACCTAAGTTTGAATAATGGTAAAACCTATAAAACCTCAAGCAATCCAATGCGAGCTTCAAAAAGAGAAAAGTCTAAAAGAAAAGAAAAATATTTGTACGAAAAAGCACAATATCTGTATTATAATCAAAGGCGAAAAGCTTGCAGGATGGTTATGGGATCTGGCGATGTATCTTGTAAGATATCTACAAATGATTTGTACAAGGAGTTCGACAATCGTTTTGCTAAGCAAAATACATCAGTTAGAGATCACTACGAAAACACACATTCCACTACTTTTAATGAAGAAGAAGACTTTGAAGAAATAATTGTCACTGCTGAAGAAATGATGAATGCTATGAAATCAATTACTGTTGACACTTCTCCTGGTGTAGACAAAGTGTTAATGAGAGTCATAAAATGTAAGAAAGTGTCGGTTATTTTGGCAAAGATATGTACAATCATGATGCTAAAAGGTTGGGTCCCTGATTGTTTTAAACTTGCAAGAACAGTTTTAATTTACAAAGGAGGTGACGTTAAAGATGCTAAAAACTTGCTCTGTCTTACGAAGAAGTGTTGAAAGAGTTCTAGACAAAAGACTGAGAGGTCATATACGTTTTAACCCAAACCAAAGAGGTTTTACTAGTACACCAGGAACAACAATCAATGTAGAAATAGTGAACTCAATTTTAACAAAAGCTAAGACAGAGGAAAAAGAAGTTTCATTGGTTTTTCTAGATATTAACAAAGCTTATGATTGTGTTGGGCACGAACACCTAGTTAAAACGCTAGAATCACATAACATTCCTAGGAAGTTAAAAACTTTGATAGCAAATCTTCAGTTAGACAACCAAACTATTATTGAAACTGGTGGAAGTAAAACAAAAGCGATTCCCTTCAAACGAGGGTTACTACAAGGAGCACCTTTATCCCCTATGCTGTATAATTTGTGCACAGATTTCATTTTAAATGAACTAAGTGAAAAAGAAGTTCAAATGGCGTACGGATACGAACTTCTGCCGGATTTAGATAGACTAACCATAATGGGATTTGCTGATGATTTAGTTATTATTGGTAAAGACAAACAAAGTGTTGCAACCCTTACTTCAATGGCCATTAATTTACTTAATTCGATCGGACTAGAAATAAACCCCAACCAATGTCAGTCTATCGTGATTGAAAAAGGGCTTCTAGTTGAAAGTAATATCTGGTTAGATGAAAACTTGTTCATAAAAAGTATTTCAGATAGTGAAAACATAAAGTATTTAGGTGTTAACTTTTCCCAAGGGATCGTTTTTAATAAGGAGAGAATAATTAAACAATTCAAATCCCAATTAGAAAGACTAACATCGACTACATTACTTTTGTCAAGCCAAAAGTTTAATATAATTAATCAATGTATATGGCCAACGTTAATATATCCATTTCAAAATGCTCCACTCCATAAATTACCAGTAGCATTTTTAACTGACTTAGACAAACTGGTTAAAAGTAGTGTTAAAGAAATATTAAGCTTACCAACTGACACTCCAGATTTTATGTTATATAGCCCAAAAAAATATAAAGGACTTGGATTAATCAAGGCTCAATGGGAAGCATATATTCAGCAACTTAATTCTATACAAATACTCAGACGGGTTAAAATTGTTATACAATAAATGAAGACAAATTTAAACGGATAGAAACAATTTGTTTAAAAAAATTACACCTAGAAGAAATTGATCGTAATCAAACAATAAATACCCAAAAATTAAGAAATGACTAAAGAGAACAAGAGTTTGAAAATTGGAAAAGCTTAAAACAGAAGGGTAAAGGTGTTGAACTTTTCAAGGACTATACTCCGGGAAATAAAAGTATTATTAATAAAGAAGGCTTGTCAGAATCTGAGTGGGAAGACAGTATAAAAATGATTGCAAATGTGGTGCCAGTGTGTGTTCTCCACGGCAGAAGTCAGGGCAATAACCGCTGCAGGCATGCCTGTGGTGAGATTGAAACCCTTGCACATGCCCTTGGCTTCTGTCCGTTTGGTGAACTTCTAAGAAACACAAGGCACCACAAAATAAGAAGTATCATAGCAAATACCTTCCGAAAAAGGTATAATACATGGGAAGTGCAAGAAGAAGTACACTGTCTTTCTTCTAACGGAAGCACCAGAAGTGTAGATATTTTATTGATTGAGAGAGATACTAACAAAGGCATAATTCTCGATCCTACAATTCGATTTGAAACAAACATAAATCAAGCTAACAAAGTAAATGAAGAAAAGAAAAAAAATTATGATTCTACCTTTGAATATTTCAAGCAAAATTTTAAAATTTCAAAAATTGAGGTGATTGGATTGTTTATTGGTTCTAGAGTAACATTATCAAAATTTTTTGTGAACTTTTGGAAACAATATGATTTGGACAGATCCTTTTTGAAAATTATTATTCATGAAACATTAAGAGGTTCATTGACTATAATGAGAAATCATCTATATGGCAAACATCAAAATTAATCAGTCTTATAGCTGTATAATCCTTAGATATTTTATGTGTACTATTTTTCTGTGTCATTGGCAACCTTATTGTTTAAGGCAGAGGTATTTATTTTTATAAATAAATTCTTTTCTCTATATATAAGGATATATATATATATGAATTTGAACTGATTGTTTTTCACCTCTGGGGACCTCAACACGAAAAATTAAAGTGATCCCAGTTCCATAATCATGATAAGGTCTTAATGGTCTTATTATGAGACCTACGGTAATAGCTTATTACCTTTATGGGAAATTCAAAAAAAAAAACTGAAAAACCAACTGCACTTAGCCATTGATGGACAGAGTAGCAAAACTTAAGTACTGATTTACATCCTAGGCAAATCAGCCCGGAAAGCATAAGTGTAAAAGCATAGGTAAGAGCTAATGTACTAAATACTAACCATCCTCTGAGAGCCCGCATTGAATTTTAGGCTCGTCCAGGAACCGCACGATAGTGTGAAAGTTCCCATAAGATTCCATAGTCAAAACAGTTTCGTTCGATACGGGACAGGCCTGGACCGCACTGGTGTAAAAGAAGGCTAACCCAGCTAATTACACATACTGTTTTACATCAGGTGATAGTTTAAAAAAGTTATGTGCATCAGGTTAAAAAAGTTACTTATCAGTTAAAATTGCTAAAACATTTTTTTATTATAACTATTCTTAAATATCGATAACGGGATATCTATTAAAGTGAAGTTAAAATGTAACACTAGGATGAACACAAATAAATTCCAATAACAATAATCCAGCTAATATTCTTGTCTCTCGAGGGATTAAAAGAACTACTTTAGTCACTAAATATAGTGAGAGCACCAGTGAATAACCGTTTAAGCTTTAGTTTCCACTTGTATCTGGCATGAGAAAATAGACAATTAAGCTACAATGTAAAGAATGGTTTAAATGTCTTGTCCGTATTCTCCTGAAATTCCTAATAATAAAGCTTAATATCTCATGTTCAAACAGTGTTGAAAAATACAAGTGATCGCACATAAATCATTTTTATTATTCAGCATTGAAGATGTTAAGAACGTTTGTTATTGACTAGACAAAACAAATATCTGTGTTTTATATGAAACGGACATTCACTGGCACACTCATTTATGTACAGGCAGACATAGTTTACTTACATATGGTAATAGATTTTATAATGTAATTTTTCCAGACTTACACAGTTACATTTAAAAAAAATGTTGGTCCTTGGGTTCATTACTCAGGTTACAAACACCTATTGTCAATTCAATGTTAACACTTCAATATGACACATAAAAAATAGGTAATTGACTGTTCGTATATCACATAGTTGATGGTTAGGAATGCGTTTGGCTATTTCTTCACTGTTGGAACATCAAATAGGTCAGAGACACCTTCGTTGTCAGCCAGATTGAAGCTGTAGTCCAAACTGTTGAGAGGAGGGCTCAGCCTTAAAAATGGTGAATTTGCTGAAATTGTTCCAAAATTGATAAAATGCATAATATTGGTTTTTAAACCACTTTCTAAAAGAATACAATCACTGTCCAAAAGAAACCATGTTAACCCTGCACCACAAATAGATATGGCTTTAGTTTTCATTCAATAATATCGTAGAGTCCTGTTATTCTGAACTTACTGGAACATAAACCTGTTTGTAATAACTAGATTTCTGAAATAATATTAACATATCTAGGGCAAAATTACAGTTGATGTTTATGTAGCTACCAGCGCAAAATGTGTGGGTGTAATGGCTGCTATCAGGAGAGATGATGATGATGCTGCCCTAGCATTTAAGTGTATTAAAAGCTTCACAAGGACATAACTAACATCAGCAATGTTCACTGTTGTCATATCATCGCCAGATTCTCCACTGTTCACGTTTGTGGCAACATTGCAAATTAGGCCAACCAACATTTGTGGTATCACTAAATTCTACCGGTCAAGGAGATTTTGATAGTATTTTTTCTATAGGAAATACCATCACTTTATTTTAGGAAATATCAAGCAACATCACTGACATCTTCAACATTCGTGTCACATTGACAACCTTGCTGAAGATTGCGAAATCATCGCTTGAATCTTTAAAGTTTATAGTGTTATTGCCAGTGGCTCATGGAATAGACATTGCTGACTTGTGTGATACTGCTAACTTCGGGGAAGTTTATGGTGATATTGCTAGCTCTTTTGATGTTTGTGACGACATTGTGAGCTTTTCCGACATTTGCAAGGACATCGCTAGTTTCAATGATGTACACGGTAAAGTAGTTAAGATTGTACTATCTACTACAAAAATTAAATAATTTACAAACTATAGTTTGAAATAGGCAGATAATTGAAATATTAGGGTTAGGAACGGCGGGATTCTACTGGTCTTTTAGTCAATTCAACTATTTTAAAGCTCATGAAATCAGCCTGATTTTATATGGGAAGACCTGTAGATAACAAGATATAGCCTATGATACAGATAAAAAGGGTAAAGAGGAAACATTCAATGGAACACTTAATGGTGTCTCGCACTAGTCACTGGTGTCTAGAGCAAAGTCCCTCTCGCTCTCATATACCACAGCGGAGAAAAATCCAGAGTGCTCGCTGCCTAGTCTCTTCCTTGGTCGTCACAAGTATATTAACGGCACAACATACCAGATCTGAAAGTGCACAGTCTTCCCATAAGCTTGTTTCCTCTGTACCTCACTTCTCTGTGCTTACTGCTTATGCATAGTTTAACTTTTGTTAATGCTTGTCCTCAGTAATACTCTTTCAAGTAATAAAGAGGTAACAAAGTACTTAATCGTAATAGTTCTAAGCATCACGATTGCAATTATTTATTCCTTAGTTAAAATTATTAATTCACGATAAATTATGCAGTGCGTTACCAACAGACAAAACTTGAAACAAAACTATGTATTCTATCATAATTGATCTACACACAGAAGTATAAAAATTGAAATCAGAAACTTTATTCAGCCAGCTTTTTAAGTGTAAATATCTTATTGCAAGTGTTATTAGACGGGAGACGTATATATTTTTGTATTTTTTAGATCAATAATAATGAGAAAAAATTAAATTACACTGTTGTTGGTGTCAAACATATGAATTAAATACAAGAATTTTAACAGTTTATAATACTTACAAACTCCTTTTTAAAATTTAAGTTTTTAGCTACTGGTAATAGAATTTTTCTTCCTGACTAAATGACACAAGCTGTGTTGCATGAAAAAAATTATGTTTTTAAGCATCAGAACAAATCTTGTGTCAGTAAAAATAGTTGCTACTAATTCCCCTAATCTTCTACATAATTAATAGGCCAACATGAATTTTGTGGTAAATTGTTTTGAAGCTGCCAAGCATCTGATGACCATGTTTAAGGTGTAATTGGATAGGTCGTGGCCTGCAGATTTGCTATAAACCGAAAAATCTTTAACATTCCATCAGGGCTCTATATCAGTGGCCTTCAAAGTTCCTATATTATTCTTAGGGAGAAAATGTTTGTTTACAGTTTGAATTTAGACTAATATTTGAAACAGCTGAATAATTTTTCTGCTCCTTAGTTGTTTTAAACTCACCATCACTTTCATAAGGATCTGGTGCTGGTGATACATCCATATCAGTATTGGTAACTAAAAAATCTGAAACAGAACCATCCATTTTGTGTAATTGGTATGTTAAGGAAATTTAAAACTCAATATTACACTGTCATTATTGAAAGGCCTATTTTTTTTTGTAATTTTTAAAATTATCATTATGTGTTAAAATTGTCATCGTGTATTGTCATTATGTTTTCTCCTAATAATGACATATTCAAAATCTAGTTCCATAAACTAACAGGAAATTATGGAAATGGCTTAAGCCAACCATGAAAGATTTGACTTATTACTAAATGATAACAATTTAATGTCCAATGGACCCCCTCAAGCTATAGACCAATTTTATTGTTTTCAGTTTTTTTTTTTTTTATAATAGAAAACGTAGTATACAACCAACTTTTCAAACTTTAACCCTAGCAGTGGCCGATTGTCGTCTGGTGACGATCTGGCGTTGATGCTTAGAATGGCCAAAGTCGTCTGGTGACGATCTGGGCCGAAATTTTTTTAGCGGTAAAAAAAACACTAACAATCTACTCAGATGAGAATAATATATTTACCATTCGAAAGATCACATTCTGAACTTTCATTTTATTACATAAACAAACCCTGTAGCAGGTATATAACAATGTCACGACGATTAGAAATCATATGAATTTTTGGCGCGGCACGACTTTTGCAGCAGACACTTGGGAACTGGCAAAACACGTCTTGTTTGGCATTACCCTGCTCGGATAATTTTCGTCGTGGGATGTTGCGGGTGGTACCACTGGATAGCCATTGATTTTATCTTCATTGTGGTAGTAATATTTAGAACGAAATATTGATTGCACAACCGGTACGATTTTATGAAAACAGCTGTTTTCGAAATTTTTAACAAATGGCCAATGGTCGTCAGGTGACGATGTGGAAAATACGAATTACATACACTGTAAGTTATTATTACTAGTGATATAATATGTCATTTTGAAGAGGAAGAAATATAGATTGTGAGAGTGGCAGCCCTGCGCTCAGAGTTATTTACGTCTGCTCACATATGAAGACGACGGAAGTGATAGGTGACATCTATATATTTAACTAGCTGTATCCGCGGGCTTTGCCCCTTTTTACTTCATAAGTGAGCTCGTTCGCATGGCTCAATCACGTCCTGGTTGAAGTTTGTTCGCTACGCTCACTCACCTTTTGGTTGCAAATTGGCTGTAGTCATAAATTAAAAAAAATAATAGTGCTGCACCCTGTTGGTAATCCTTGTAACTTTAATGCTATTGAACATCATAGAACAGAACCAACTTGTTTAATTGAAACAGCTATTAAGAAATTCCTTTTAAATATGAAAAATCATAAGGTTAACATGGGAAACTCCAGAGCCACTGGGGCGGAGCCCGAAAGCCCGATCAGAATACAAACTACTTAGTTTTCCTATTCAATGCCCAAAGAATCGGTGTACCGAATTTCAGCCTCCTAGGTAAATGGGAAGTGTGAGAATTAGTGATGAGTGAGTGAGTCAGTCAGTCAGTCAGTGAGGGCTTTGCCTTTTATATATTTAGATAATTTTTTTTTTAAGCTCTACAAAATGGTTTGAAAAGAAAATGCTAAATTTTAAGTTTAAGTACCAATTTTTACCCCATAAAACTCCCCATGAACCACTGTTCCCATAGTCTGATCATGCTGTTTCGCGAACTCGTTGGAATAAACTTAGGTTTACACGTTTGTACCAAATTTCATAAAAATTAGATGATTTTTGCTCGAGTTATCGGGCTAACTGACACGTATGTAAATATATATATATATATATGTGTGTGAATTTGAACGGATGGTGTTTTTGGCCTCTAGGGACCTCAAAATGAAAAAGTAAACCGGTCCCGGATCCAAGTCTTACCATGAGTACTACGGTAATAGCTTATTACCTATAGGGGAAATTTCGCTAAAATTTATTCTTAAATTATACAAAACTAAATCAGATTGATGGCAATACATTTTTTCTTGGGCTAATATTAGACCAGCATCTAACATGGAATAAACACATTGTTTGTTGTGTCAACCATGTTGACAAGATGTCGTCTGAGTGCTATACATTGCAACAGATGAGCCGAGTTTGCAATATGGATATTTTACCATACTTGGCTCTTATAAACTCCCTTATAAACTTGTCATACTGTATTGCAATATATATAGCTACCTCAAACAAAGATTCCGATCAGAATTTTTTTTTCAAAAAGGAAAAAGCAATCAAGATAATTTTTAATTCAAACCCATAACAGTCTGTTAAAGAATGTTTTTCCAAATTGGGTATTTTAATAGTATATGATGTGTATATTTTTGAAACCCTGATGTACACTAAAGCAAATCACATAATGCCTTAAAAAAATCATAAACACAACACTAGATTAACCCTTTTACCGCCACGGACATATGCAACATTGCGCGCGAAGACCACCGAGCGCTATGTCAGCTGACTGTCTGAAGGTTGCCAACCCAACAGCTGGCGACACGACTGAGAATCGCCGCAGCGAAATCCACTAATTTGCCGACATCTATTGAAACGATCATAACTCCGCGTAAATAATAGCTAGACCTTTAATTTTTTTTTTTTGTTTGTCTTTAACTGTTCTACATGTACATATATAGTTTGGAAAGCTTATACCACTTTTTAGTTTAATTAATATGAGCAAGTTTTAAAAAAATTGTAAATTTAATATAAAATTTCAATTTTAAAATTTTAAAACGTGTATATATATAACTTTTTTATGCATAAACTATACATTTTTGGAAACATAATTATCTTATGAGACCACAACAGTTCTAAGAAGATATATTCATAAATAAAGATATACTATTAAAAAATAACAAAAGGTGTATTTTTCACAAAAAGGCATTTTTGGAATATTTGCTAGGTACAATTTATTGCTCTGTAACAATTAAGCCATTGCAGTTTTTTACGTGAAATTATTACATCTAGAAATATTTTCAAGTTAAAAACAAGCTTCCTCATAGAACTATAAAATTAAATTATAATTCTAAATAGTTTTGAAAACTATTTTGCTGAAACTCACCAAAATATTCCTGGAGTTGAAGTTTCTATGTTTCTATGTCCAGGGAGTTAAATGACACACACACAAATTAAAGGAACACACAACCAGTTTTTAAAGAGTAAAATGAACAAATTTGATTAATATTTACATTGTTGACCCTTATGACGGGGCAGACAATCCAAATGGCAACCGGCCTTTGACACATACGGTTCTGCTGCGTCTTCTCTTGCCTTCTGGGTTATTTTTGCCACTACATACACAGCATATTTTTTCCTTGTGTCCTTCGAGTTTTTCCACCCCAAAACCTTGTTTCTGGGACCATCCCCGCCGCCATCACCACCATGAACATTTGCGGCGTTTTTGGCTGTCAGCCATTCATCTGCCATGGCCTCGATTATGGAGATTTGAAATTGTAGTCGGGAAACAGGCTTGTCAGTGTTTTGTTTGTATAACACGTAGGCATTAAGTATCATTCGGCCAAATATATTAAAAATAACCTTCTTCCAATGTTTCATACATCTCCTTTCATCCAAATGCGTATACAACATTTGATCCGTCCCGTCTATTCCCCCTATTTCATTATTATATTGGTAGACGATGTTTATTTTTGATCACAACCCTGCCAGATCTTCGTATTGCATATCTTACGTTCCTTGCCACAGATTTTGTTGACAGTAGAATAAATTGAGATTTGTTAGTAGCTTTCTCCCGGAATGCCATCTGAAAAACCGCTCCCTTCCTCACATAAACCTTTTTACCAACTGGGTACTTTTCTTTGAGTTGGCGAGGAATACCCTTGCGATCCAACCTTTGTGTTCCGGTTAGGTATGTAGATTTGCTGTACAAATATCTGGCAAGTTTTTTTGTAACAAAAAAATTGTCTAAATACAAATGATAGCCATTGTTCAGAAGATTTGCCATCTCGAGTAGTTTTACCACGACTGTCGCCCCTAATCCATATTTATCTATCCTTGCACGGTCGGTTTCGAACCTAGCACCCTTGTAGCAGTAAAACTGTGAGCAATATTTGGTTAGAGCATCGCACAGGACCCAAAGTTTTATGCCCCACCGATGGTGCTTCTTTTTGGGGATATACTGTGTCATGGCGATCCGTTTTTTTGTCCCCACCAAGGATTCATCCACTGACAATTTTTCATAAGGGATATAGTAAAGGCGAAAAAGACGGTTGCAATGGTCAATTAGCGGTTGAAAACGCCCACATGGGTCGTAGTTCGGCTCATTCTGATTTGGGAGGGTGTTTGGGTCAACCAGATGAAAAAACTTCAATAAAATTTTGAATCTGTTTCAACTGAATAACTTGCTAAACCAGGAGTTAGATTGGGAAGAACTGGTAAACCAGTAACTCTTGACAGTCGGTTTTTTAATGATTCCCATGTTTAGGATTACAGAAATGAAACCTTTCATTTCTTCCACGCTTGTGTTTACCCAAGATCGCAGTTGGCTTCTGGGGCTTTTATTGCCCTCACGAGAACTCAAATACCCTAGTGCATTTTTGTTAGTTTCTACTGCAAATGTGTTCAACAGCACATTGGTAAAATACCCCCGTCGCAGCAAACCTGCATACTAAGCGAATTTCCATTTACCCGGCTTGATTTCTACTAAAATATTCCCTATAAATTTTCAGATTTATTTCCATTTTTAAATAACATTAATTTTAGTGAGTAGTTAGGTTTGCTGCTACGGGGAAGATGTTGAGGTGTGTTTTTTCAATTGAAATATTGATAGCTTAGTATGAAATAAACCAAATAAACAAGCAAACTAGAACAGTTAATTTATTCTCCATAAGAATAACATGAGAATTTTAAATTTACAATTTTTTTTAATTTTCTCCGTAGTCAATGAACATTCAAAAACACTTCAATATACTAAATTATTTGTTTTTTTAAGCTCTTCAAAATGGTCTAGAGAGAAATTTAGAAATTTAAAGTTTTTAGGGTCAAAAATGAGAAAAACCCATTTTTACCCCATAAAACCTCCCATAAACCCCTGATC